ATAAGATGAATAAAATTCGACAATTTCTTACAGTAGGTAAAAGTTCGCCTCACACCTTTCACCTTGCGACGGCACACCGGTTGCGGAACACTGGTCTAAATAATGTGGGACCCTCAACGTCTCACAACCCTATGGGCCTTAACAGCCTGTTACAGGGATAGCTTTACTATTTTTTACTGCCAAGTTACATCTTTACCCTTGTATGCAGCATGGAGTGAGTATTACCTTCTTTTTTTCCTTGGCACTACAGATCCAGTGGGCCTAGGCCTACCTCCATGAACTTCTCCATTCACTTCGGTTTTTCTAGATCTTACACATTCGGTAGGACTCCTTGGGCGGGTGATCAGCTCGTCGCAGGGCCTCTACCTGTACACAAACACAGAAAAACGCACACACACAAACTAAACATCCATGCCCTGAGTGGGATTCGAACCCACGATCCCGGTTTCCAAGTGAGCGAAGACAGTACATGCCTTAGACCGCTCGGCTACCGTGAAAGGCAAGTATACCTTACTTTCGGTAATTATAAGTAAAGACTGAGGTGTAACATGCCAGTCTCTCTCTGCCTGCAGATGGATAATTTGTCCAGTGGCCTGTAACAGCATTGCTCATCCTATAGGTCCTTTCAGTATAAAAAGTCACTTAGAATTTGTGGTTAGAATTCTAACAGGCTTGTTAACCCAGTATGGAGAATTCTGTGTGTGTGTGCGCGCGTGTGTATGTCATGATACTGAAGTAGAAGAATGAAGAGGAACAGTAGCTGGGCAAGGAGAAGTAAATGGAGGAAGAAGAGAGAGAGTAGTAAAAGGTTAAGTTGAAGATAAGAAAACAAATACAACTGTTATTTTCTTATGTTGTCTCCATTCCTGTATTTTTCAGAAAAGCATCACTATACAAAAAATATACCTCCTAATAACTTGGATGTGAAAGGGTTAAAACTTTAAAACAATAATTCTACATCATACTAACAATGACCTAACTGTTCTAGCAGCACACAAACTATATTTAGAATCATTCACACCCTTAAATATAAATTATGACACACAAATAGCATATACAGTTAAACCAGATGCAGAGACTGTCCTGATACATATTTGGTGGTCAGAAATTTTGATATTCTCATGTGTAAAGATACACGTTTTTGGCACATTGTGATATTAATCACAACTGACAAATTTTATGTAAGTTTTGAGGTTTTCACGGCAATGACTATGAAGAAAGTCGTCTTCTGGGTTTTGGGGCCGTGTATTCTTCGTTTTGGCCGACGTTTCGGAGGAACGTATCGCCTCCATCTTCAGAGCAGGTGAATGGCTTGTGAATGCAGAAAGCAGTAGCTGTAATGATTTGGAAGTGAAAGGCGCTGCTTTATATACGAAGTAAGCAGGGGAGTGGTTAGGGAGAGCGGACCAATAGGAGCAGTGGAAAGCGATTAAGACCTTATATGGTGTTGTGTGCTAAGGGGAGGGGGGGAACGGCCAGTGAATCCAGGAAACCCAGAAGACGACTTTCTTCATTGACAAATTTTATGTTCATGAATATAATTATTGACAGAAGTGTAGGAACTAAAATTTTTGAACTGCCATCAATAAAACATGCAATCTTTCAAACCACAGAAATGCAATAAATGATCAGTAGTGTCCATTAGTGCAGTAACTGTAAATTAGGTTCTCATTAGTGAACAGACTTCACATTCAACATATGTACAATATACATTTCTAAACTCAATCATCCTTTCCCTTGCATTCTATCACCTAGGTCCTGCAACCTTCAAAAGTTTTATAGTCAGTCTAAAGAACTTTTCCGTTGCTATCACACCAAACAGTGAGTCATATTCATGTTTACAGATTTTGCTACCATCAAAAATAAACCATATTTTTAATGATAACTTTTATACTCACAGAGATATTGGATTTTCGGACTTTATCCATTGTCCTGGTTTTAAGATAACTAAGAAAAAGGGGACCCAACAGAATAGGTGTTTTCCCTCACCTGAGGACAGAAACAGATCCAGTTTCCGAAACGTTGTGTTTTTCTTAGTCATCTTAACACTTTGTGGACTGGCAATTTAAATATTTAAATCACCATGGGGACCAGCATTTTTAAACCTACTAGGGGCGTTCCGTAAATAATGCCTATTTTTTTGTGTTAATATGTAACATCTGAGATGGATGTTGGTGGTGTTGTAGTAAAGGTTGAACCTTCCCGCCAATCTACTGTTAGTCTGGTTATCGCGCGACAGATAGCGACAGCAGAGCAGTCTACCAAAATGGTGTCTGACATAGAAGTGCGTATGAAACACAGATGTGTTATCGAATTTCTCACTGCCGAACAAATTGCACCCACTGGCATCCTTCGACGCTTGCTAAAGGTGTATGGAGACAATACAGTAGATGTCAGCACAGGGAGGTGGAGGGTAGTGCGCTTCAACAGTGGCAAAAGTGAAGTGCATGACAAGCCACACCCTGGGAGTCCCTGCTCAGCTGCCACTCCTCACAAGCAACAGCGCCTCATCCGTACAGTTCAGCAGATAGCGACCAGGGACTGTCAATTCTGAACGCTACAAAACGATGCTGACTAAGCTGAAAGCCCGCATTTCCTGAGTCAGGCCAAAGAAGCAGACAACCTTTTGCTTGCAACACGATAACGCTAGACCCCATACAAGTTTGGCTGGACTGTCCTACCACATCCACTTTATAGCTCCAGTTTAGCACCTTCAGACTTCCATCTCTTTGGGCCTAAGAAAGATGGACTATGTGGGCAACACTTTCCAGACAATGATGCTGTCACTGCGCCTCTACTGGTGCAGACTTTTACGAGCGCGGTATACAGGCTCTTGTTAATCACTGGCAAAAGTGCATAAGGAATGGTGGTGATTATGTGGAAAAATAACTGTAGCTGAAATCTTGCTCTATTTAACGGCATTATTGTGCTTTCTGTATCTGTTGTAGTTTTCCTTAAAAAAAAATAGGAGGCATTATATACGGAACACTGTAATACTACCCTAACTTGTGCACTGTTCACTTTAAAAATTAATATAAAATCTCCTAATTAATTTTATGAACTAAAATTTTTGGAGAACACTTACCAATGCTCCTAGAAGCGCTTGAGAGTGTGATATTTCTGGAAACATTCGCCTTTGTGAAATGGCATTACACAGAACTCTTTCAGATTAACCCTCTTTGTCATCATCATCATCATCATCATCAGTAATCTGTCAAGATGACAGGTCCACAGTCTCTTCCAAAACAATTCCATTTAATGCGATCTAGAGC